GTATGTTTCTCGACGGGGTTTGCAATCATTCCTTCGTCTACTTTGCCGCGGATGTCTCTGTAAGCTCTTTCCTTAAATGTTTTTTTGTAATTTTTACCTAAATGTAACGAATAAATATGTTTAAAATACCATAAGACATTGAAATGGGGGATAAATTTGGACGAACTGGAGAATTCCAGACGAGTTTTAATTTATAATGTTCAACATATAACCAGTAGTTGCTGACTGAATGTAACGTCCTTTACGTTTCTTTCTTGCCAAACGGATTTATCTTGGACAGCCAGCTTGATGTGGGCGATGATTCACTGCAAGCCCCAAGAGAAAAGGTTAAAATTTGAGCTGAATCAAGAGCAAGGCCGATACTTACAGCTTGGTCATTGCCTCAATGTCCGCATCCTTGTGCTCACTGTTAGAAATGGCGTCTTTTGGCTCCTTTTTACCCGCTTCGGCTATGCCCGCTTCCCGCAGTCGTTCAATCAATTTAGTACGAAACTCAACCTTATGCGGTAGCACCTGTTCCGCTGCGCGCAGTTGTTGCTGCAGCTTGCGTATGGCTTCGATATAGGTGTGGCCATACCAATCGATCTCCTCGGGTGTGTATGATGCCAGATATGGACTGTATTCCTTCAGCACATCTTTCTGATGCTTGGGCTCCGCTGCCAAGGTTGGACATCCCAGCTGCAGAGCCTTCAGAACCTCGCGTTTAAGTTTCAAAGCCAGTGCCGATCGCAAATCACATGCCAAATTTTTTAGCAGATAATGATCGAAGCCATGACATTCGTGAATTTGCTCCAGTGTGCGCTCCGTCACCACCACCGACATATATTCATTTAGCACCAGGCTGTGCACCACGGAGCGACGCAGGGTCGGCACCCAAAAGTGCGGCACGCGTCGCTTCGTCTGTTGGCGCTTTTGGAACCCCTTGATGACAGCCTCGCCGCCCCATATGCCCTGATGGGATTCGGGTGTATCAATAAGGGGCATCGGTATGCTTTGTATCGGTTTGATGGCATGCGTAACCTCGTCACGCTCCCACTCGCTCTCCTTGGGTATGTAATGCACCGCCGCTGGCTTTGTTAACTTCCATTCGCGCCAGAATTTCTTGTAGGCATCTGGCAGCTGTGCTCCGAGCCCCTTCTCGAAGCGACCAGGACGCTTAAAGCCATTCAGTAGCTTAACGCCCTGTAAACGATAACAATATTAGACAGAATGCGTTGCGATTGCGTCACAGAGAAACGCGAAAACTATTGAAATGTCACACTACACACCTGCGGTGTTGCGTGGGCCATTCTCTACGATGGTTATAGGATGTTGACGTATTTAATTTACAAACAAATTTAGTTTGTTGTACTAAAACTATTTTTTGTTTAATATTTTTGTTTTCGTCTAGGCTAACAACCGTGCGCTATCGTCTTCCTCTCGTTTGACAAACAGCTGACGCGTGTTTACGTGCCACTGTGAATGGCTGTGATTGGTAAAATTTTTTTCGACAGGCTGGCAACTTCTAGGCTCCGTCTAATTCACAGAATTTACTAAAATAAATACAAAGACATGTCCAGACCAGATCCAGGTAGGAAATAACATTTACATAAGCACTTTAAAGTTAGCTTATATTATTATTTAGAAAAAACAGCCGAGCCGCCAAAAGCTGGCAATGCGCCACCTCATTACAGCTTTAATTTCGACAGCGCAGCTTCCATGGTTCGTATTAAATTTCAACTTTTGCAATTGTTTATCATTTTAATTTAATGCGCAGAGAGCTCCGCCGCCCTCGTACGAGCAGAGCCAACAGCAAAGAATAAACTATATGCCGTCGCCAGCTGGACCTGCGATGCAGATACATGTACCAAGCAACCAGTATTATGGCATGACGCATCATCAGCAATTACCTGTTATGCATAATGGCTCAGACTATGGCTTAGTCGGACCCAGCACCTCAGCAGGTGCTGCTGCGTCGCATGTTTTAAACGTAGATTCACGTGCCGAGCTGCGTACCACAACTTCGGGAGCTGTTGTTATACCTCCACCGCCGCCCGGCTGCTTGCCCACGCCCGCACAATTGGCTGCCATGCAGGGACATCCGGTGGTGTTGCAACAAAAGAAGCGTTCCTTCTTCTAAGCCGTCAGGAATTAAATCGGAAGAAGCAATTACTCGAATGCCTCCTACTTATTATATATATGCTTTTAATGTTTACTTAATAAATGATATTTCGTCTTGTTCTCGCGTATATTTGAAAATTTTCTTTGCACATGTACATGGCGCATTCACGAAAGATGTGGAACTAATAACTACTACTGATGGGGACTACTCGAAAATGTTTTCAAAGTATGTACTATCAAAGGACTGGACACGCACGAAACCATCTTCACCACCGGAGGCGTAACTCTTGCCATCCGGATGGAAGGCCAGACTGTTGATTGGACCGAAATGGCCCTTAAGACGTGCAAACTCCTCTTCGTAGATCAGATGGAAGAAGCGTGAATCGAATTTGCCAGCCTTCGTTGACGTTGTGGTCACCTCCATGGCATCCTGGCCACCGCCAAGCACTACATGATCCAGTATGGGACTAATCGCAGCCGAATTCACTGGTCTTTCCGTTTTGTACGTCTTCAGGCACATCAGAGACTCGGAATCGAACAGCTTGGCTGTGGTATCTCTGGAAGCGGTCACAAACATTGTGCCATCCTTGCTGAGCTGCATGTCATTGATTCCAGCAGTGTGATCGGTGCCAGAGTCAACCACCTTTTGTCCCTTGCGTATATCCCAAATGGCAATGTTTCCATTGTCATGGCCTGTAAATTAGATGTGATAAGAATTGATAACTACGTCAACTGTGTGTCATTGACTAACCGGTAATGATGGTCTCATCCAGAGGTCCCCACAACATCGATGTAATCTTCGACTCTACCATGGGTATACGCAGAGTGGGCTCTTGTTCCGATAGGCTTGAATCCGCATTGCGTACATCGATGATGAACAGCTCGCAGTTCTGACCCATCGCCTTGTCCGTGGAGTAAGCTGCCTGGTTGCCAGAGAAACTGAAATTGCTGGTACGCACCGAAGATTTTGTGGGTATTGAGGCAATCACAGTGCCGTATTCTACATCCCAGATTTTGGTGGTCATGTCACCAGCGCCGGTGATTAGCTTTCTGCTCTCCCAGTCCACATCCAAGCACCATACGGCTCCCTGATGTCCATCGTAGGTGCCCAGGCGCTCGCCGTTCAGCGAGTACCAGACATTTGGTTTTTGATCCTTAGAGCTGGAGAAGAGCAGGTCGCCCTCGCGATTGTATTTGATTTGCGTTATGGAACGCTCGTGGCCTTGCAACATTAACGGACGCTGTAAAACAACAATATTGTTAATTAATTGCAAAAAATCAGCACGAAAGCGCCGCCTTTTTAAGGTTATGTTGTGGACTGAATCACGGAAGCATCTTTGTTAGAGCAACAATGCACATGATTGACACAAACAATACCACAATAATAAATAACTTCTTTTAGGCTGTTTAATATTGTACACACACCATTTCGTAATTGATTATATATTTATTGCGAGAAAACAAAACAATTTCTGCAACATCCACGCAGCACGAACGTCAAAAAGAGCGAGCATACAAGTTAAACGGGGCTGTTATGCTTAGCGCTGCCAACTTGATACAAAACAAAATTTTAATATGAAATAACAGCAGTGTGGCAACACCATACATCTAACTGAACCAGCCTTTTTTGTTCAATGAATTCCACTTTGCTATGTTAACCAAAATTGATGACACACACTGATCCTTGTCTCGATTCTGGCCGTAATAATCGACAAATTCACCATCGGGATTAACCAGGTACATGATAATGGTGTGATCAACAATATAATCGTTGTCCTCATCGCGTGGCCCTGCGCTAAAGTATACACGGAAGGCTTTGCAAACATTTCGTATCTGGTCAACGGTGCCAGTCAGTCCAAGCAGCTTGGGCGAAAACTCCTTTACATATTTGCCCACAATCTCTTTTGAGTCCCGCTCCGGATCGACGGTAATAAATATGGGCTGCACTTCTGGTGTTTGTGGTGATTTTTCTGCAAAGTAAAGCTTCACATTGTTTAGAACTTATTTATACATGCATTCAGTAGCTACGCACCAATTTCATCGACTACTAAAGCCATTTTCTCCAGTTCGTCGGGACAGATATCAGGGCAGTGAGTAAAGCCGAAATAGATGAGCAGCCACTTGCCCAGAAAATCGGAGGATTTGCGAACTTGACCTTGGGAATCAACCAATTCCCAGCTACCTCCTATAGCTGCCTTGCCCAGCTGCCGCTTGCGCTCCTTTAGAAGCGCCTCATCCTTCTCGCTCTTTACATACAGCATAAATCCCAGGCCTCCGGCGCCCAAAACACCAATCACTGCCAGGCTCTTCCATGTTATCGGTCCCTTGCCTTTTGTGGGATCTGCTGCTTTTGCCGATAAGTTACGTTGTTGCTGTTGCAATGCAGGACGTGCAAATGGCTGCACCTGCACTTGTGTTCGGCAGTTTGATTGTGTCCAGCGTCTGCAGCCGCCGATTAAACGTTGCAGTGTGCGTGACATTTTTGTTTTTCTTTTATCAAAGTTTTACGTAAATCTGCTGCTGGAGAGAACCGATTTCGCCGGTTAAATAGCTAAAAGTTGCCATTCACAATGCTGCGCACGCAGCTGCCAACTTACACCAATCTTGTGCAAATACATATTTCGCAGTGACTACTGGGATTGTGATTTTTTTATGCTTAGCCATTAGGCTGGCACTATAATGCAATCTTTTCATTATTTATTTATATTTATTATTAATTATTACTAAGCGAACTATATATTGATCTATATTTTATACATATTTTCTATAAGAGATGCCCCAAAATTCAGGCTGATAATTTGCCAGTCACAATGACCCAGCCACGACTAGCCGAAGAATGCGCATCTCTGATTGTTTTGACAACAACCACGTGCGGCAACCCATCGGCGATTGCGCTTGCTTTTATATAGGATTTATTTCTGAATTAAGCGTATATTAAAATGCCTGCAAATAAGGAACAACCGTTGCTTTACATGGAGGAGTACAAGGTCAAGCAGGATCCACAGGATTATGGGCTGGCCGACGAGGTCTTCAATATGGATGTTTTTAAAAGCAAATTGCAAGTGGTGATTGTACGGTAAGTCTCTTGGAAGATATTTTCGGCCTGTACCGTTACCCGTATAAATTCCGATTGCAGGAATGATGAAGAAAATGGCTTGGAATTTGATCTGATTGGCGTCTATCCGGCGATCGCAAACGCCTTTCGTCGTTTGATGCTAAGCGAGGTGCCGAGCATGGCCATTGAGAAAGTGTACATCTATAACAACACTTCGATCATACAGGATGAGGTTCTGGCGCATCGCATGGGTCTGTTGCCGCTTAGGGCTGATCCCCGTCTGTTTGCCTATCGCACAGAGGAGAGCACGGAGCAGGGTACCGAGCAGGATACGCTCGAATATGAGCTGAAAGTGAAGTGCACACGTCGCAAGGATGCCAACAAAGATCAGTCCAACTTTGATGATATTTATAAGAATCACAAGGTATATTCGGGCCATCTGAAATGGCTGCCCAAGGGCAAACAAGGACAGATTTACAGTGAAAGCAGCGTGGGCTGCATACATGAGGATATACTCATTGCACAGTTGCGACCGGGGCACGAGCTGGATCTGCGACTAATTGCCGTCAAGGGCCTTGGGAAGGATCATGCAAAATTCTCGCCTGTGGCTACTGCCTACTATCGACTGCTGCCCCAAATCAATCTGACCAGAGAAGTGACCGGCAAAGATGCCTATCTACTGCAGAGCTGTTTCTCGCCGGGCGTCATTGGCATCGATGAGAACGAGTGCGCCTATGTGAAGGATGCACGGTACGACAGCTGCAGTCGCAATGTCTACCGCTATCCGCATCTGGCCGATGCTGTTACAATGGCACGTGTACGCGATCACTATATATTTAATGTAGAATCGGTTGGCGCTCTGAAGCCGGAGGTTATATTTCTGGAAGCCGTTAAAGTGTTGAAAAAAAAGTGTCGCAGCTTTATAGATGAAATCGAGGCGGAATAAACATAAACATTTATTTCTGTATATAAGTTAGTTATGCTTGTCAATATATATATATATATAATTATATATAACTTGAAAATAAGTTTAAGGTTGAAACAAATTTAAAAATTGCGTTTTGATTTACGTTTCAAGATTTTTAGTCGAAATTCTGTGAGCACTACCTGCAGGCGCTCCTGACAGAGCAACGCATCCTCCAGCTGCAATTACAATTGTGTTTAAAAAGTATTTTCCAAATAAAGCGAGCACTGGGCTTACCTCCATGTGGTTTAGTTGTAGGGAAACGCTTTTGCCAAATAGATCAAATTCGCTTATAATGTTGTCGTCTGTTAGATTATCATCTTGCATTTCATCAATTTTAAACTCTTGAATCGTTTCTGGCTTTATATCTTGTTCGATTTCCTGGTCGCTTATCTCCTGTAGATATTGTTGCTCCATATCGTCGTTGCCCAACAAATCCTCCAGAATCGAATCGTTCGAGCATGTGTCGGGCTCCATCGAATCAATGGATTCAACTTTATCAACCTTAGCCCGTTTCACCTTTGGTTTCGGCTTCGAAGCAATGATGTATTTTTGTGACATTGGCTTTGGCTCCTCATTTACGCTGGGCTCCATTTTAATCGCAATACCCTAGAAAAAATGGATCCATTGTGAACGGTTCGACTTCAGTTGTTTTTGTTGTTGGGCGCTTACCTTTGCAGCGAACTGGTGGCACTTGAGTGCCTTCTGATGCTTGGCCGTGTTGTGGTGCTGCTTAATGGACGCGAGTCGCGCCAAAACGTTGGCGTCGCATATTTTGCAGTGCGCCGAGTAACCATCATCTCCACGGCACAACCACTCTGAAAACGATGGGAATCGCTCCCAATCTTCACGATATTTCTGATGGTACAGCCTGCGCACCTTGCTCATAGCTGTTGCCTTGGGCGGCGACTGTTGGATTGTTATTTGTGCAATTGTACGGGACCTTAATAGACTTTTATTAGCGTTATTTTATTTTGAATAATGAGCGCCAAATCCTCGACTGTGTATTTTATTTGGTAATTCTTCTAGTATTTACATAAAAAATAGACCAAAACATTAAAAGGTTAGTGCGACCGCGTACTGTAAAAGCGTAAGTTGCCAAAAAATTTATTTTTTTAATTACAATGAAATACCAAAAATACCATGTTTGACATACAGCGCTGACGTCTACTCAATAACAGTCCTGGAAATGTTAAGTCGTGAGCAAGCGTTGTTAACCAGAGACCTCTTTTACAGTTAAAAATATGCTTTAAGCATAACAAATTTCGCTTCCTATAAAGAGAAATAGGATGATGCTAACATTAATAAAAATGAAGGTAAATTTCGCAAATGCGAAAACCTAATTTACAGCTGGCATTACGAGCTATGTTAAAGCTAACAAAAATGTAAGGATTTATCGACTTTGCTGCTGTGGTCACATTGATTTTACAGGGTGAGAATGCCGGCAAAACGGTAGGTCTGGTAAATTGCTTGTATTTTCAATTAATAAACCTTATTCACTCGCAGAGCTTGGCGCAAGTTGGTGAAAAAACAACAAAGACATCGTCGACGCCAGAAACAAGCGCGCCAGCGAGAAAAAGACGAGGCGATAGAAAAGAAAGCGCGAGAGTCAGATCCCGAATATCAAGCGTGGCTTAAGCAGCAGGTGGAGCTCGAAGAATTTCAGCGCCTAGCTAGCGAGCGCTTGCGTCAGGATGAAGAAGAAGCATGGTTGCGCCGCGAAGCATTGGCACAGCATCAGTTCCAGATTGATGCAGCCAAGCGTGCACAGCAAGAAGCGGAATTGGATCGCTTACGTGCACAGCAAGCTGAGGCATTTGCTGCTCAGCAGAAGGAACAGCGCAAACGGCGCGAAGAGAGTAAAAGACTGGCGGATGCGGCAGCAGCCGAGTTCGAGGCTATGCTACACCGCATGCATGAATATATGGAGGACACAGAGGAGCGCAGTCCACCAGACGAGCTGCGACGTCTGGTCGAAACGCATCCCGAGGAGCGACTTTGCGAATTCTACACGCGCACCAATTGCTGCCGTTATGGTCACAGTTGCACCTTCAATCACAGACGTCCCATGCTGGCGAAGATCCTATTGATTCGTCACTTCTTTACGCATCCACTGCTGCAGGTCAACGTGGCGCACAAGGAGTACGCCGGTGCTGATGAGCATTTGGAGCTGACACAGCACGACTTACGCGCCGACTATGATGAGTTCTTCAAGGATGCGACCGGCGAGCTGGAAAAATTTGGCAAAATTGTCAATTTTCGTGCGGTGTGCAATACATTACCCCATTTGCGAGGTCACGTTTTTGTGGAGTACGCGCACGAGCGGTGCGTGTTGAAATTAAGCTTATTCCTATTTATTTATATGCGAGTAAACTTATTACTATTTTGTATATTCTACAGATTTGCGCTGCGCGCCTTCATCAATTTGCAGGGTCGTTATTATGCAGCCAGGCGCCTGAATGTGGAGTTCTCCAATCTAAAAGCATGGCGTGGTGCCGTTTGCGGTACGTGAAGCGCATGTGAAGACTACGTATCCTTTTATAAAGCAACCAGCGTACATTGTGTACATTATTATTAATGATTATTTCAAAGTTATTATTGTTTCTTACCCAACTTGTTGCTTCTTCAAGGTTTGTCCTTAACACGCAAATGTCCCAAAGGCTACAGCTGTGGCTATCTCCATTTGTTTCGCAATCCAAACAATTTGTTTAACAGCAGTTTGGAGCTCTACGAAACGCCAAGAAGTGCGCGCTCTGTCAGTAGAACGCCTAAATCCAGGCAAATCAGGTAATTGTTAGGCATATTTTAGTCTATTGACTAAACTAAAACCATGTTCGCTCACAGCTGGAATGACAATGAGACGCAGTCTCGCAACTGGCGCTGGTCAGAGAGTCCCGAGCTCGAATTAAAGAACTGCAAATCTTCGAGCAGTAGCAGCCAAAGGCGTCATAGCAATGAGCGTGACACTAGATCTAGGCAAGAGCATAGCCGTAAACATTACCATGTCCATTCCAGTCGAGAATCTGGACAACATAAGAGTCGCAGTCGTTCTGCGTCCGATTCTAGGCGGGATTATAGTCGCTCCCGAACACCAACACGTCGGCGTGTCAAATAAACCAAAGTATTTAAATGATTGTTTTCTTTTTTATGAATTACAACATTTTATTCAATCTCTTTGTTTTGCAGGGCAATCGAATGGTAAGTTTTTCTTTTCGTTTTCCTTTTCTTCTTTTTTTTTTTGTTGTTGAACTAAAATGCCAAAGAGATTTAAGGGCGTAGCGAATTTCCAGTGAATAGTCGTACTTAACAATTTTATATAAATACAATTTGTAGGAAGGAAATAGTTTAGTTTCAAAAAATAGAGTTCTACGTGTAAAATTGGCAGTTACGAAACAAGAGAATTTGTGTGAATTTTCGGCATGTGTCTAGATGTCTATATATGTAAGATCGGGGTATTTATAAATTCTAAAGTCTATTTGTCTTGCACATTCGTCGGTCGTACACATTAAACAAAATTATACAAAAAGAACTCATTTAGGGAGTATTATAATAAGTATCTTTAAAATTACACAAACAATGCAGAAGCATTTAAACTTCAGCAGCTTATAGACGAATGCCCGGATTTGTGGCCGCCACATAGCGCAGCAGCTCTTCGTTATCCTCGCAGATGACGGGCTTCTCGTGGTAGCAGGCAACATCGTGCCATGCGATGCCATCGTTGTAGACATTGTTCAGCACGGAGAGACACTGCTCCTTGGTCTGGTTGATCTCGTACTCAGCATTGTCGGGCTGTGGGCGCTTCTTGTGACCGGTCTGAGACCAAGGATTGTAGCCCCAGCCCTGTGGAATGCGGTTGGTGGCCTGGATCTTCTCGCGGGTTGCAGACCAGAACCAGCCATAAACATGCTTGGGCTCCAGATCGGGACGATTCTCGCAGCCAGCGAAATCGCAAATGCGTCCAGCGGTCCAGATGTAGGGCACATCATTCTGCTGAATGACACGGAAGATCAAATTGTTCTTCTCTTGGGTCTCCAGTGCGACCAGATCCATGCAGTACTCGCGGCACAGATTACGGCCATCCAACCAGTCGACCTTCCTGTTGGCAAGCGCCGGCACATGGGTGCTTAGGAACATGTTTTTGCCGCGATAGGAGAACTCCTTGGGACCTGCAAGACGAGCACAAGAGATGGGAAAATGAGTTCAGTTAGTTGTAGTACCGTACAGTGGGTGTGGCCGCCCGCCCTCGAGTTCAATGCGATGCCAGAGTGTATGCCGCATAATGGGCAAAACATGCCACGGATGCTTACACAACTTCCCCCACTGTTAGTTGCGCAATCTGTGCCAGCAATTTATGCAGCATACTGCTGCTAATGCTGCTCCTCCGTTTGATGCCGTCATCGTCGCCTCGCCGTCTGCCCGCTTTCCTTTGTCTGTGTGTCAAAAGGTTTTCCATTTGCCAAACAAAAAATTGGTTAAGCCAACAATGGCAGCTCCCCCAGTCCCCCCCACGCTAGCATTGCCTCCTCCACCTGCTCCTCCTCCTCCTACTGCTCCTCGGCAAACAAACGAAACTTGTTTCACATCGCTGCCTCTCTGAGCTGCCACCGTTGCGGCTACTGCAGTGCAGCAGCGTCCATTTGATTAGCTACTGCTGCGTTGGCTTTTCAGCTTGTCTGTTTTTCTTTTAGTTTTTTTTTTATTTTATTTTTTTAGCGCGAACAGAGTGTGCCACGCCTCTTGTTACCACTGCCGCCGCTGCTGCTGCTGCTGGCGGCACGCGTCATTAGGCGCGCTTTAAGCGGCTTTAAAGCTGCCATCGCAGTCGCTGCCGTCAATTTTGCAATTGCCTTTTGCCTGTTCATTCGCCCGCCCCCCGCCGCCGTCTCACGTCACGTCAAATCAGCTTAACTCTAACATAATGACCTTATTTGCCATTGTTTGCACATTATTATTATTATTGTTGCTGCCGATGCTGCCAGACTGCTGCAATTTCCTCACATTGCGGGTCAAGGCAATAAAAACAACGCGTCACATTGGCGCGCATTAACCTCACTTTCTTTCGCTGCGTTTTCCTGCATTCAGTTCGAAAATAAAAAATTCCCAATTGCATCATTGCCAAACAACTTCCCCAAGTATACATTGAAAAAAACAACTACTTCTACCAACTGTGTACGGATACATAAATCTAAACAGAATCTTAATCTCGGCTTGCGGTTCGGGCTTAGAAAATCCGTTTTTAAATGTAAATTAAATAAGCAAGCGCACAGTTTGCATGCTTGAGAGTTGTTATTAACGAGCAGCGACGCCGTCGTCGCCGTTGTCTATACCAGGTAATTAAGTTTGAATAGTTAATTAGTTTATTTAACTTTAAAGTTGCGCTTGTATAACTGGAAATTTCTAAAAAGATGAAAGATCTAAGCCACAGCAGCGCCACCAAACTGGCTATGCAACTTTATGGGCCGTCACGTTGCGACGCGATGACGTTGTTGCCCAAAAAAAAAAAACAAAAAACTTTAAGTTGCATTTTCTGTTTTAAACGGGATGCACACAAATGTATGCTTTTAGATGTATGCATATGTATGTACATATGTGTGCTGCCTAATTAGTGCCAACTGCTAACTGTGTTCATTAGTGTACCGGATGTGCAGCGATGACGCTATTGTTTGAATCTTAAATCTATCAGCTGCATTTTCGCAATCCTCTCCGGTGCATTTTGTTTGAATGCAGCTTACAGCGATGACTTGCAGGATTTGTGTGTGTGTGAGTGTGTGTGTGTGCGAGCGTTTTTGTTAGTGTGTCTTATAATTGTGCTTGGCAGCGGGGTGGCAACGCTGCAACCTGTGACCAAGCCGAGAGTACACCATGCCTTATAAGCAAAGGCAAAGAAAGTGCGTGGGTGACAAAATGCAAGCGAAAACAAATTCGAACACGTCAGCGACCGTCAGCCGCCCACCAGCCCCGTTTCTGCCCCCGACCTAACACAATTAAATATATATTGTAATTGTTCGGGCTGTTCGTAACACACCCACACGTCGCATTGCTAAACAATTTCAAGTGCAAACTTGGCAACTAAGCTGGATGTGTGCTATTTAATATTCTTCTAACGTTTCACACTTTTACTTTTTGCCACAGTTGGAGCAATATATATATATATGTACATTTCTTGTATGTATTAAATACTTACGGCTAGCGCACTTGGCGGGCACGGGCAGTGAGAGGAAACGACCCGGCTTGGTGCCTGTGGTTGTTGTGGTTCTGCCCTTCTGCGCATTGGCGCAGACAGCCACCAGGCAGAAAGTCGCTAACGCCAAAGTGACTTTCATCTGCAATGAAAAGAAGAAGAAGAAAATATTGAATATATGCATATTTGCAAAGATTACAAGCTCAGGCCACAGTGCGTGTGCGGAATGTTGTTTAAATTTGTTTTGATTGCGTGCCGCTGCACATGTGTAAGTGCGTGTATGTGTGCGTGTGTGTGTGTGTATGTGTGTGTGTGTGTTGGCTTATCGAAGATGTAACTCGGTGCGCATGGTTTTTATGTCAAGGATGCATTGGTGCCAACCAACCGGTTGCCCGAGGCGTTTCGCGTCGCAGCAGCGGCCACTGACACACTGCCTCAGTGACGGCGACGGCGACGGCGACACTTGAAACTTTATTTTTATTGTAGCTTAGCATCGGCAACGTGATCAGCATCAGCAGCAGCAACTTTGCCATCGACACATTATTCATAAATATAAATTCATTTAGCATCTGCTGAAAACATGTTGATTACACAAGCCAGAGCTAAGCCCAATGGCTAGCCGGGCCAACAGCAGCGTTGCCAATTCAGCTATTTTCTAGCTACATGTGGCTATATTCAGAGGCATTCAGCCACAACCAGTTGAAATTTAAAACAGATTTAGCTATTTTCTGGCAACTCAGCAACAAGTACCCAGCTTAGCTGCTTTTAACAGTGGACTTAGCTGCTTTTTTGTAGCGGCAATTGGCAGCACTGGCCAGCAGCGTCCGCGCGGCTGACCTTAACTGGTTTTATTGACTTTTGGTATTGGGTTTTTTTTTGTACTTTTGTTTTAGATTTTAGCATTTTTGTGACGCTGGCTAGAACCTTCCACGTCTTTTGCATATAGATTAAAGCGCACCCACTGTCGCGGCTGCTTCCTTATGCAATGCCATCAATCAAAGCTCAATGCCTGTCGGGGGCCAGTTCGACAAGCGACAAACATTTGAAATTTTGCATGTTAATTTGATTTTATTGCTTGTGAGTGTGTGTGTGTGTGTGTGTGTGTGTGTGTGTGTGTGTGTGTGTGTGTGTGTGTGTGTGTGTGTGTGTGTGTGTGTGTGTGTGTGTGTGTGTGTGTGTGTGTGTGTGTGTGTGTGTGTGTGTGTGTGTGTGTGTGTGTGTGTGTGTGTGTGTGTGTGTGTGTGTGTGTGTCTGTGTGTGTGTGACGGCGATCTTTATCATTAGGGGTATTCATGAGCTGCTGACCCCCCCTTTGCTAGAGATTTTGCAACATAAATCATTAATGGTTCGCCTAATGGTCACAGCTGCCGCAGGGCTTATCAGCCGTCGACATTTGGAAATTGAAAACCAATTTCGTGCATAATGAAAATTTGATATGTTTTCAAAAGTTGCGCGATCGATTATGGATTTGACATCAAACACGATTTTTTCGAGTGCTTTTTGTAGTGAAAAGTTCAAATAAAAAACAAACGCCCGCCGGGCCTTAATGAATGCATATTGAACGCAGTTTGGAAACTTGCATTTCAATATCTCTGCGAGTATTTCTCTATCTGTGTATGTGTCTTTACGCTGTTTTTATTTAAAGTTGCGTTTTGTAATTTGTTGGCTTTGTATTTTTTGTAATTTTTGTGTTTTTTCTTCGTGGGCTCATGCATGTTAATCAATATCAATCAGCCGACAAACTGGTGATGCATTTAATAATATATATGCATATGTAGATACATGTAAATATTTGTATTGGTATGCGCCCTTTTATGACTGCTGGCTAAATAATATGCATGCCAAGTCGGCACACATTTTTTCTCGTATTTTTCTATAATTTATGCATGTACATTTTTGGTGTGTTGGAAGTTTTATGTTGCAAGTTGCGCAAAAGCGCTCGGGCTTCACAT